AAGTTTATTTTGACCTTTGTTTTTTTGTTTTTTGAAAGAGAGACACTCTTCTAAATATTAATTGATGAATGTGCAACATTCAAAAACATCAGCCAAATAAATTTTAAGCAATTAACAGCCTAAATAAAGTGTCTTTTTAATTATTATTATTGGGTTTATCTAGAAATTAACTATTCAATTACTTACTTCATTATCCTTGGAAAGTTTGCAGTTTTGTGCTTTTATTTTCGTTCATAAAAGGTTTGGTAAATTGAACACGTCACATTGTGTTTTTCTCAATATTTAATTAACAATCTGTTGATTTTGTTGGAGCACCACCATAGCCATAATTGCAATATGTTCGTAATAATGCAGCCAAATTTTTTTTTTTAAAAAGATGTATGTCCTTCACCACAGCACAAAAAATTCATCATCCAATTTTTTAATGCTTTGAATAAGAGAAATATTTCATGGTAGGGAGCTTTAAAGAATTCTTGTAGGTTCTTTTTCTGGATTAGAAAGAAAGATTTAAGGTATTCTTCAGCCAAAAGTCCCTCATTTGTGCAGGTGTAAGCAGTTTTAAGGTTACAGACCAAGTTCAAATCTGTGAGACAAGTTTTTCAAGCTATGAAGCCTTCTCTCTCTCTCGCTCTCTCTCGTTTTCTTGTTCTTTCTTGTTTTTTCTTTCATGCTAACTCTTGCCAAGTCAGTCCATTTTTATTAGCTTAGCCTGTCGAACAAATGCTTCCTTCATTATTTCTCATTGCGATTAAATGTGCCGTAATGAACGGCACAAAGAGCAAACCGCTCCGCGCTTTCGCGGTGAAAGAATGCGCAAAGAAGTCATTATCACATGCTACATTTTCCTTCAATTCTTATCAAGGAGGCTTAGTAAACTTTAGGGTCCTTTCAGGAGCTTTATCAGGTCATTAAGGTCTGAAGCTGATTAATATGAATGGTTGTTGAGGTCGTGGCTCTCCGAGGGAGACACAGAAGGGTGAAGGGGTTCAGAGGAAGTGTTTTGTATCTTTACACAATGGGCCGATGACCTCCTAAGCCCTTTAGTGCCTCTCTGTTAATACCTTCAGCCAAGCCTTCAAAGACTACAGCAAAGACATTTCACCACTCACAGTTTAAAAGCTCACCGTGTATGAGGGGCTTACCTCGAGCAAACATAGAGACCCGAAATGCATCAGTTATCATCTAAAGTTCAGAGAGGACGAGCGATCGCTGTGATGATTCAAGCGTGATTTCGTAAAATGAAAAGAGAACCGGTCGACTTTAATTTAAAAAAAGAGGCACTCCCAGAATTCTCACTGAGACGCAATCATGACAGTTTATTAGCGGAACGCGAGACCAGAGCACAGAAGGAAGGGGGCCAGGCACCTCACGGTGTGTTAGGGGTCATCAAACAGCAGGATGTTCTAGTTACCCTGCAGGAGAACTTTCTCTGTGCTGGAATGAGTCTTCCGATACCCCAAATCTTTTGAGAGCACCAGCACACCGCCATACAGCCCTGGAGGGTTAATCGGGATGGGGTGCGATTGTGGGACTCAAACCGAGAAGCCTGCGGCTCCCATCTGTAACTCTTTCCAGTCCTTAGTCGGTCTATATTTCCTTCTACAAGCCACGTTGTATGCACTTCCTGCATGTAAGAGCCTAAATACTTTAAACTCTGGCAAAGATCCACTAAGACAGGAACAATGGCACCCTTTCACGTGGGCTGGGAGAAGACCGGGGTCTTCAGACCAGTCAATATTTGGACATGATTTTTTTCTCCCCATTTAAAATCCAAGTGGAACCGAGCAGCAGGAGGCCAGAAGTGCCAGCGAGGGAAAAGCAGGGTAAACACGCAGAACAATACAAACTGAACCCCATACAATACCACCGAACAGCTATCACAATATCAACTGGCCACAAACCGCAAACCATGGGCTTTGTTTTTAAAGTGGGGATTAAAACTGAGCCGGCACAAAAAGGAAACCATCTGAGGTCATATTGCGCAAGCTAGAGTTAAGAGGTGAAAAAGAGATGGCTTTACGGGAGATCCATGACATTTGCCATTTCTGTAATGAAGAAATGAGCAGGGAAAGACAACCGAGAAAGCGTTTAAGTGTGAAGTTACAAAAAACCCAAGTCTAAAGAGGCTGGGTGTACTATTCACTAAACCACCTGACTGAGAAGGCTTCGAAAACTATAGGAAAAGTGCCACATCTGTTACTGAGAGATTTGAGAGGCATTATCAGTGATTAAAACGGGACTCCGTCAGAATGCTGAAATCCCTCTCCCCAGCTGTTAGGTCCATTCGACAGACCTCTTTGATGGACAGCGGTATCGGCTTCCATGGCACCACATACACAAACGGCCAGAAGATTAAGGTAGGAATTCAATACTGATTTCTGACTGATCCTGCCTATCAACAACAAATAAACAGGTTTCATTTCCAACATAAGACCTATTTGAGTTTAAAATTCCAGGAGCTAGCAGAAAAAATATTGACAAATGAATATATTTGCGATGTAGATCGCATATCTGGATTACACGAACACTACTTTCTCAGAAACACAGGATAGAGAAGGAAACTATAAGCTCTCTATCTCAAGCCAATCCAGTAATGCCTGCGAAAGAACACGTCTCGAACTAAGAAATTACTAATCTGAGAACGAGCTGGGAAACTTCAGAGGAAATCTGCCCACTTTCAATTGAATTTGTAATTGCAAACGGCATGGACTGCATTGGAGAGGAAAAAAAGAGCCTCCGAAACCCAGTGAAGCTTGTAAGACCACCATATGTAGAGCAAGACAGGGGCTTACATATGAATGGGTGCGCTGTAAATCTCAGGCCAAAAACTAAAGGAGCCATTCCGCCCTAAATCCTCTAAAGAATCTCTATAGACTCCGCCGTACTCACTCATGTGAAAATACTAGCAATCACCGCCGCACTAAAGTGCAACTCCTACGCTTGCAAAATAACGATTAAGAGATAAGCCTGTCTGCGTGCTTTGAAAAAAAAAGTAATAAACAGTTATGTTTCTCATTATTATAGTACGTTGTTTGTCACTAAATGCCATTGAGCTATTAAGAACTTCAATTAAAGCTCTAATGTAGGCAATCTTTCTGACAAATTAATATTTCATGGCACGGCTATCTAAATCTTTGAGTTGGACTCTTGCACAGCTGTCTCTAATGTGCGTAATTTAGCCATGTTAATGAGCGACATTAAGAGAGGAAGATGCGGCACAACACAATGAACCGATCAAGCATCTTAAAAGCTAGCAAAGAACTAATTGGTCTTTAGAGGGTCCGATAATCTAAATCAATGTCTAAATGAAACAGTCCAACATGAGATCCATGTACAGACACATTCTGATCAGAAGGTTACTTGTTTTGTTGGTTATGAGTGACATTCGGGGCCCCAAGGTCTTGCCAAAGAGTGCTGCTACATTATACAGCACAGCCAGATTTGAATTAGGCCATTGGGTGAGTGTTTGAATGTGAATGAGAGATACTCATTTGAACTAACTCATTTATTTGCTAGAGGGGCCTCATTTTGCCCGGACAAAACCAAGGGAGGGAGTCTCCAACACACACACGCAGATATTCATGATCACACAAACACATTTCTGCCAAGCTATAGAAACCGGGCTCGCCCTCAGATTCACCCTAACCAGAGCTCAATACTGTCCGATGATGGTTAACCGCAGCCTTGTGCTGTTATCACTGAACGTGTGACCCCTCTCTCATGAGCATGCACCCAACTGGGCATCAGCCACTCCTGAAATGCCTCTCTGGGTTTGACCCATTGTGTAAAGCCAGCATGGGGCTGGGGTGCAGGGCAGAGAGAAAGCCCCATGGCAACTGAAGAGGGACAACCGAGAATGAGGATGAGCTAGAATCACAGCGCTTCCAGGCAACTCAAGACTTGCGGCAAAGAGAAGGGGACAGCGAGCCTGATGTAATTTCAATATAAATATATTTCTTATATGTTAGTTGTTAAAAAGCTGTTAAGCAAATTATTTCTCACATGAATAATAATATATTACGTTATGAATACTGGCTTATTCATAAAGCTCATTGACATTTAACACACCCAAATTATTAACAGCCATCAAATCAACTTATTCAAGTATTTCACATTCAGCCAGAAAAGTACTTCTTTCGACTCCTGATGCTATTTTTCATTAACACCCTTCACTGCACAGGAAGGTTATATTACCTTATTAGAAAACCTTTATTGAAATCCATTACTAGCCCATTTTCAGCCACACATTTTATAAATGCTTCAAAAGAAATATGAATTGATAAAATTGTGCCCTTTTAGAATTATGATAACAAGCAAAATCACATTCAAAGAGGTAAATTGGATTTTAAAGAACAACTGACCATTGAGCCATGATATTTGCTTCTAATGATGTTTCTAGAGGGCAATGTCTAGGACAAGATAGTGGCACGGGGTAATGACTTTTTACTTTTAAAGAGCATCGATCTTGCCTGTCAATCTCCCAAAAACAGAAAGAAATCCCAGTCATAAACTGGCTAAAGTTATAGGAATGAGGTAAAAAAAAGGGCATTAAAAAGTATATATATATATATATATATATATATAAACTAAAGCTCTGTATAAACTAATTAGCTTGTTAGTGTGGTTTTAGTTTTAATCCAACAGACAGCCAAAGTACAGATTTTATAACAATTTGCGCTTCATTTATTTTCGCAATTCCTTGCGCCGTCTCTTGCCATGCTAGTACCTTCATATAGTTTTGCCATAGAGTTAACTGTAAAATAGCACTGTCGAATGTCTATCGCGCATTTTTGTTAGAAGTTTCGCCCTTACAATGACTGTTGTATCATCAGTGAAACTTATTCAAACGATCCTGACGGCTTGACGAACCTGTTCAGTTCGCCGCCGCATTATAATATATATATTTAGCCTGATATTCGGCGGACTGTGGTGCTTCTAAATGACAGAAGTGAAACGGCGTTTTAGTAGCCTATATCTACTGCGCAAGTAGCCTAACTCACCTTGGGTTTGTTCGGTTCCAGTAGACAGCGTAGCGATCCGCCACAACCTTAGATGCCGGTTCCAGAGCCAACACAGACATCCACAGGCTGATCAACACAAAATAAAACATCTCCACCTGCGGCATTTCGGAAAGTTTCAATCGCAGCCCCCTTCGATACAGCGTTCCGGTGATAAAGAACTGCGCGAGCCGTCAGCTTTTCCTTGAATATCCCACGCGTGGAATTTGTTCTCTTTAAATTATGTGTCTTTTATTGTAAAAAAAGATGAAAACAGATCTATACGACCGCAGTGCAAGGAATGACACAGTCCTTTAAAGAGTCACAGTTACATGTAAATTATTATTAGAAGAAACACTAAGAAGCCGGTTAATGCGCTCGCTGTCTGTCAATAGTCCAGTCTGATAAGGCGTTCATCTCAAGCACATCCTTTCGTGCGATTTATCGACTTAGTTTTCCACGAGGAAAGAAAACAATTAGACAAATTTCAGGTCCTTTGAATATTCACTTCTCATTTCAAAACCCTTAAGATCTTCAGCGCGGTTGGTCACTGCAGTTAGTTTGAGTGAGTGAAAACAACAGCGTATGTCCACTGGCACCTCATTCTCCAATATGTGAATGAAGACCTGCGCGCTCTGTTTGTATGGTCAGATCTTGACGTTTATAAACTGAATTTACGTAGACACTGTCCTGAAGCGCTGTCTTCTGATTAGGATTAGGAAACCAAGCTATCTTTGGGAACGAAACGCAAAAAAGGTTTCAGCGTATTCAAGATTCAATATTAAGACATAGTCCTCAACAGTAACCTTGCAGGCAGCCGAGTTGGTCAGGGTGCATGAGCCATGCTGTCTCAGAAAGAGAGAGAGAGAGAGACGGAACAGTTCCAGCGCTCGCTCTCTTTCTCATTGGTTTGCATTTTGAAAGATGGGCGTCTCGGTTACAAAAACTACATCCCGCCTCCAAAGGTGGTAGAACTGCTTTTTACGGCGTGTGATTCTCAAGAATATATTCACAGGGTAATATTACTTGAAAGAGTTCCTACTTTTTTTTTGCAGTGGCTAGACAATATATTTTGGAAAAATATTAAATTTATTTTACTGCATACATTTACATGACATTTTCTATATAAAAAATAAAAAATATGTTGCGATATGAATAACCAGTCAGTAAAGTGTACATTTGACTCGTAAAAAGCAGGAGGTAGGAAGAAATAAAAGACCGTTTCTTGTTTTAAATGCTTTCCAACATCTATAACTGGTGAGACTGATCTCGATTTACACACACACACACACATACACACACACATATACACACACACATATATATATATATATATATATATATATATATAGGCTATATATATTACAAGCAAATGGGCCGATTCTGATACCGATTGCCCATTTTTTCAAAAGACAAGATTGAAAGAGTACGTGAACAAGAACATGAACAACTGGCCTTAAACAAAGAACAAAAAAATAAATAAATCTGTAGCCATTTGAAATTAGAGTCAACCACTGCATTTGAATCAATCCAAACAAAGATGCATGAGCAGTTTAGCTTTGTGAAAAGTATGCTAAAAATGCTAATTCACGCTCTGCCAGTAGGCGGCGCTTACAGCCGCAATACCGTGTTTTTCTTGGTTACTGCTGTAAACAAAGCAGCGCTGCGCTTATAAATACTACTTTATTATGCATTATACGAGGTTAGTTGAAAATAAAATAAAATGCCTTTTCTGAAGACAGTGAGTTTCCTTCTACACTCATATAATCCTCCACGCCAATTGAATATTTAGGATTTTCTTAGAATATTTCCAACATTGCGAACAGTGAGCTTGCTGCCTGTGCCTGTATTTTCTCTGCTTGCGCGTCTATTCTCGTACAGTCTCTGGCCTCTATTAACGTCCTGTTTATAGACTTAGTAATATTTCTACATATTTCCAGGGATGAAGCACTAAAATACAAAGCAATGGGAAGCTGTGCCTGCATGATGGGCCAGTCTTTGGCACAAAAAGTAATTTCTACCAGCAGTGTTTAAGCTGGTGGTGACACTAACCGGTCCTAACCCATAAAACTGAAAACTTTTTAACCTCATCCCGTTTAATTAGGGCAGTATGCTCTCAACGAGTAAAATCTAATCTCTTTTTGCAGTTCAGAAAACGCTTTTTAAAAATATATGGGAGTAAAATGTACAGTGTAACATTTCTAGAAAATTAAACGAACGCCTACAGATTGTGTACTTATAATACATAGGCTAAATCTAGCTTTTAAACACGTTCGTTTGTTTGTCATTATCGGTTACATATACAGTTTATAAAATTAAAGTGAAACGTAAATATTTTTGCTAAATTACCACACGAGAAAGGTTTAAATTAACTCAAGCGTCTGATCATAAATCCATCGCAATGTAATGTTCAAAAAGTGTGTTTGTTTATGTGGGTGGTTTGTGCGTTTTGCTTTTTGATATATTGACGCACATTTTGTCAAAACCACAGCAGTTCCCACTCGCTCTCATCTCAAGTAAATACATGGTTCAGCCGAACGGTTGACATTGCCCGCTCCCTCTGTAGACCTTAAAGCCCTAATACGCCCCATAGTGGAGCGACTGAAAACCGCCCAAGAGAACACGTGGGCATGTGCTCAGCATGTCAAGGCTGCAGGATGGTCTATTGTGTTACTTCAGACCAGCCCCCAGCTTTCTCTGTCCTTTTCGTGTGTGTGGTTATCTAAACTGCACAGGGTTATCATTTTGAATTTTTATGTAATTTCTGGTGTAAGAGATCTCATACAGCGTTTTGGACTTCACCGACTCAGGTGTTGAGATGTACTGTGTAATATATCACACTTACAGGTCAGACCCATCAATCCTAGCAGACTAATGCACTAGTATTCGCTTCATCTTAGACAAAGGAGGCTTTTAATTAGGGTCAGAGAGTGTCAACATCCAGCTACAATCTCATCACTGCATCCTCCTGCTCATTTCCCTGTTTCTACATCAGATACACAAGCATTTTTACTTATTTTAAATGATTGCAATATTATTACATGGTTCTTTGGTTTTATTTTTTTGTGCAATAAAAGATGTTTTCATCAAACTGAAAGTGTTTACTTTCTTCCCTAAAGCCTGATTCCAGTAGTGTGGAATAAACCGAAATTACATAAAATAATAACTGTCTATTGTTAAGTCCAAAGTCCCTTACTAGATTTTATATACACTGATCATCTTATTTGAGGTGATTTATGAACCATGAAGCAATTTTTTTGATCAATTTTACTGTTTTACAACATGATGGATGAGAACAATAACATTTTACACCCATGTTTATTTTTATGTTCCTTTAATAGATTGTATGTAGAACTATTTAACAATGCAATGTAATGAAATCTATCGTAACAAATTACAATTTCCCAGTTTTTTCTTTGCTAAAATAATTCTTTCCTCCTCTTATCCTTTCCTATATTCCTATCATATGCTTCAATGCCTCTCTTCTCGTCCTACAATCTGCTGAACAAAATCCTGGAAGAATAAATGTTTATATTTCCCATAGTCACACTGTTTATTTCTGTTTTTTAGAGCCTGGTCTTGAGCAGTTGAAACTGATGTAACTGACTCCAGCTGGACTGTCTGATCAATTTCCTCCATGCAGAACAGCAACATATACACAGCATTCCAAAAAAAAAAAATAAATAAATAAAATAAAAAAAAGTTTTTGAACTCTGGTAAGTCACACTTAAAAATATATGAATTTCACTGCATTAATGAAGACAAAAAAGGAAGAAAAACATATAGCTATGTAACTTACTTTTTTATACATACTTTCTAAAAATTACTTTTAACCAATTGATCCCAAAAGTGCTAAGAAAATTAATCATAAACTCCATATACAGTAATTTATGTATTATTTTTAAGTATATGTCTGTTATTTTATATATATGCTATTGTCTTATAAACCTGAAGCTTTTTTTTTGTGAAATGTTTGTAAAGCATGCTTATGCTATATGTCTTAAAAATAATGGCTTTTAGTTGGATATTTAAAAATGGAAAATGATAATTCAATAATAATCTAATACTTTTAATAATCACTAATAATAGAACATAGAGATTTAGCAGTTGCTGTATGACAAATAAAATGGTATTTTTAGTTTAATAGTGAATTAGAGTAAAAGTTCAAATGTTAATAATTAACAATGATAAATGTTTAATATTAACTACTATAAGTTTATTAGAACTCATGTGGCATCTTGTAAATGGTCACCTAAAATAAAACATGAACCGAATCATCTAATTATTCCAAAACGAGAAGAAAAAAATCTTTTTTTTTTTAGCCACACAGTCAGTATGTAATGAGATGATTAAGACCTTAACTAATAATGAGCGGTTATTTTGAGATTCATGGAAATAATTCTGCCCTGTCTGGGGTGAGACTATGTCTCGACTATGGCGAGGTGCGTCTGAATGTTAAGCTTGTTTAAAGATGTGATTTATTCGAGTAACGTGCAAATGTGGTGAACCGTCTGACCTCTCTTATCTCTACATGACCTGTGATTCACACACATCATGCTTCTAATACCCTTCAAATGGATGGACGGTGCTCAGCACATGTTTTCCACTGACAGGCATGTCTCTGCTGCAAGGTACCAAATCCTTGTGACCTACAGAACCTTCCCTGTTCAGGCTCAACCTATGAAACGAGCGCCGCTGACATCGGAATGCCAGCTATTCCAAAACGGGAAGTTCTCACCGTAGTTTTGCATTACTGTTGAGACTGAGCGCATGTCTCTGATGATCACAGGCGTGACAGGCATAGGAGGAGAAGAGGAAGCTCTCGCTGCTGCGGGCCGCTCGCCGGATAGAGCCGGATCAGGACAAGACTCAGATTCATTCATTCAGCTGCAATCAGCTCACTTATCAGTTTCAGCTGACTTCTTTCGTGTAATCCCCCCCCAAAAACAAATTTTCGGATGACAGTCTAACAGATAAAGAGGTGTATGTCAGGAGGTATTAGAGGAATTTCTTTCAACATATACTATAAGTCCTCAAGGATTTTCTGATGTAGAGTAGACTGGGCAGGAAAATATAAAAGAAAAACTTAATGTAACTCTGGGCAAACCCAACCAAGAGAGGGAAAATAAACCTAAACAAGACTTAATATGAATGTTCACGCAAACTTATTTTAAAATACAAAAATATTAGGGGCACACAACATTAAAATTCTGGCCACACAATAAACCAATAATTAATATAATTAAATTATATTAATTATATTTATAATAATTATTAATATTAAAATTACATTTATAATTTCAATTTTGCATAAATTGAAATAAAAACTAACATAATATACAGTAATAAAGAGTTTTTGTGGCTTAATATTTTTGTATAAACTGATTCATTTTTCAGGATTATTTGATGAACACAAAATTCAATGAACAGCATTTATTGGAATTAGATTTTTTGTGTGTGTGTGTGTGTGTTAAAATCACAAATGTTTTTAA